ATTTTTCCCTTCCTTCTCCTAATGTCCTCCATGCTATTCCTTATGTTCCACAAAAAAGTGAAACCATATGATAATTGACTTTCTCTGCTTGACTTATTTTACTTAGCACTTCATCTGATTTTAATATTATGAATATATTTTCCTGAGCCACAACAAGCATATGGGCTAAAAGGCAGAATATTATTCTTACCTGCCTTTATTCCAAAAACAACTTAATATTTCAGAACTATAAGCTTCTCTGCCACAAAAACTTCTCAGAATAACAAGGCTACTATATAAGAAAGGTAATAGTTCAGTGATATTTTCGTAACCGTGCACATCTGGTGCCTATAACGGTACTCAGGATATAAAACAGTAGTAGTACAATGAATGTAGTGGTAGTGTTGTACTTACCGAATCCTTTAGGTGTAATGCCGCTACTGTCAGCAGGATTAATGACCCAGTAGTAATATTTTAATGTGTGCATTAGCTGTAATACTGTTCCTACTCTGCGTATGGTGGTGTAAATGGTAGCAGTTCCGATAAATTCAGCAGACAAGTAAGTGTATAGGGAAAGCTGAACCTAATACAGAATATTAACAGAGCATTAAAATAAATTTAAAATTCCTCAAGTGTTCATATTATAAATATACATTCTAATTTAAATGCAAATTAGTAAAGATGAAGAAAGAACCATTTATTATGAGGTTAAAAATAACTATTTATTAAATATTATTTATATTTTTAAAAGAAAATAATCCACAGCCAACACATTCTAATAAAACTTATTTTAATAAAGGTAATCTGTAGCTATTAACAATGAAATAATTTTAAATGAGTGAACTGATCAAAAGTAACTGATAGGTAGAGCAAAGTATTTAAAAAGTTACCTAGACTAAAGCCCTTTATCAAAGTACATTTCAGCAGCTCAGAAGAACAGAACTAACATGAGTCAGCTATATCATATTTGGGAAAAATATACACAGTCTTATATCCTAAAAGTTCACATAATTCCAAATTTTCTTAACCCACTGCCACAGTATCAGAATCTAACCATATAAGTAAGAGAGATGACAAGTCAAACATCTTCCTTAAAAAGTGAACAAAGTTTGAGTTTAGCACCATAATTAACATGCTAAACAATAATAAAAGTCAGACCCTATACAATTTAACCAAAGTTATGTGGAAAATTTGAAAACTGTAAAAGGCAGCTCACATTTATGAAGGATGTCCCTCATTACTGATTTCCACTAGAATATAACAGGGCTAAATTTAGGTATGCAAAATAATAAAAATTTTATGTTAATATATAAAAAACAATATATATATTTATTTATATATATATATATACATATAAAATTCTTCTTTGTTTAAAATTTTGGGATACAGTTTCTTCTAACAGACCAAAATATACCCTAATCTCTAGTGTATGGCTTTGTTCTACTCTCCTGCCTGATCACATTCTCTCCTTTTTTTTTTTTCTTTAAATCCTCTTCTTTCTTTTTTCAACCAACTTCTTACCTTATCAATACCTTTTATAGAATCTTTTATAATTTTCATCTTTACATCATATTGCATCCCTTCATCATATTTACCCTTATTTTTTTACATATATAAGTTTTTCTTTCTTTAAAACTTTGGGAGGCACTTTTTTTTTTTAAAGATTTTATTTATTTATTTATTAGAGAGCAAGCGAGAGAGAAACAGCATGAGAGAGGAGAGGGTCAGAGGGAGAAGCAGGCTCCCCGCTGACCCGGGAGCCCGATGTGGGACTCGATCCGAGGACCCTGGGATCATGACCTGAGCTGAAGGCAGTCGCTTAACCAACTGAGCCACCCAGGTGCCCGCGAGGCACTTTCTTCTAACAGAACAAAATACACCCAAAATGTAGTGTGTGGCACTGATCTATGCACCAGCCTGATCATATTTGATCAGATTCTGTTTTTTTTGTTGTTGTTGTTGTTTGTTTGTTTGTTTTTATCTTTTTTCTTTTTCTTTCTCTTTTCTCTTTCTTTCCCTTTCTTTTCCCACGGTTTCAGGTCTTTTCTGATTTGTTCAGTGCATATTTTTCCGGGGTCGTTGTTACCACATTAGCATTTTGTTCTTTCATTCATCTATTCTCTTCTGGACAAAATGACAAGATGGAGAAAATCACCTCAAAAAAAAAAAAAAAGAACAAGACGCAGTACTGACTGCCAGGACCTAATTAATACGGACATTAGTAAGATGTCAGAACCAGAGTTCAGAATGATGATTTTAAAGATACTAGTTGGGCTTAAAAAAAGCATGGAAGTTATTAGAGAAACTCTTTCTGGAGAAATAAAAGAACTAAAATATAACCAGGTCAAAATCAAAAAGGCTATTAATGAGGTGCAATCAAAAATGGAGGCTCTAACTACTAGGATAAATGAGGCAGAAGAAAGAATTAGTGATATAGAAGACCAAGTGATGGAGAATAAAGAAGCTGAGAAAAAGAGAGATAAATAACTGCTGGATCACAAGGGCAGAATCCGAGAGATAAGTGATACTGTAAGATGAAACAATATTAGAATAATTGGGATCCAGGAAGAAGTAAAAAAGAAGGGGCAGAAAGTATATTGGAGCAAATTATAGCAGAGAACTTCTCTAATTTGGAGAAGGAAACAGGCATCAAAATCCAGGAGGCAACAGAGAAACCCCCTCAAAATCAATAAAAATAGGTCAACACCCCGACATCTAATAGTAAAGCTTATGGGTTTCAGAAACAAAGAGAAAATCCTAAAAGCAGCTCGGGAGAAGAGATATGTAACCTACAATGGTAGAAATATTAGTTTGGCAACAACCTATTCAGAGACCTGGCAGGCCAGAAAGGACTGGCAGGATATATTCAGAGCAATAAATGAGAAAAATATACAGACAAGAATCCTATATCCAACTAGGCTGTTATTGAAAATAGAAGGAGAGATGAAAAGCTTCCAGGACAAAGAAAAACTAAAGGAAATTGCAAACACGAAACCAGACCTACA